TCAGGAGTGAACCATAATGGGGGGAGCTCAGCCCACAGCACGTCACACTCAGGAGTGAACCAAACTGCACTGGAGGGAGGTCACACTGCATTTCAGCCTACGAGGAGCTTTTAATCCCATAAAGATAAAATAACTAAATTACTGGATACCTGCTTTTGAATAAACACTGATGTTTATTGCTTTACATTTTACAAAGCACATTTATGCAAACCGTTGTTGGGTGCCATTGAGTTAATTTTCGACTCATACCAACTTCACGGCCTGAGCAGAGCTGGCCCCAGAAGGAGCTCTGGGCCGTCATCTTCACAGAGTAGATCACCAGGTCTTCTTCCCGCGGAGCCGCTGGGGGAGTTCGAACCACCAACCTTCCGGTTAGTGGTTGAGCACTTAGCCACTGTCATCAGGGCTCCTTACTCATGGAAACAGAAGCTGACATTTGATGGACCCACACTGTGTGCCTGGCACTAAGCTAAATCTTCCCCTGCTTTATGTTACCCAATCCTTGCCACTGCCCTGTGAGCATAGTATCACTGTCCCTATTTCACCACTGAGGAACGACTCAGACGCGTCAGATGGACCCAAGCCAGGGCGAGTGCAGCTGTTTCTGGGTAACTACTGAAGTGGTCCCTGCTGGGTCGCCTCAGAGGGGGGACTGTGCGTTAAAAAAGAGCCCGAGACACAAGTTGATAGTGTTTAATCGACTGCATAATTCATCGACTTCATTTCTTATACCTGATTGGTTGCAAGAGGCTACAGTGCTCTCAATTTTGTCTTCCATTCATGTTGGCTCCATCAAGTTGAGAAAATCTCAAAAGTTGACCTGGGATTATTCACAAATCAAAAGACTCAGGGAACTTGCAGCAGCAGCTACTGCACACGAAATCTAACAGATGACCAGACATCATTAATGAACAAATTTGAAAAGTGAATGTCACGTGGAATGTTAAGTCTCTCCCTAACACTCCTGTGTGGTAAAAATCATATAAACATGTTTTAAAGTCAAAGTGTTGTCATCAGGTACTGTCGAGCCAATTCCAACTCGCAGTGATGTCCGCGTGACAGGGCAGAGCTGTGATGTTTCCAGGAACAGACCACCATGTCTTTCTCCCAGAGGCGCCGAGTAGGTCTGACACCCAACCTTTCGGTTAGCAGCTCAATGCTTAACCAATGCACCACCAGGGCTCCTGAAAGTCATAGTTAGCAATTACCAAAAGCAACCAGCCACACCACAGCTAGACCTTGTTAGACGCCCACCCTCGGTGGTGGACACAATGGACGCTTGTCTTATTTGCACGAGATGTCCAACTGTTCCTTCAAGCTTTGGCTCTGGTTAGTCCTTTTTGGCAGACATGAACATTAACTGGAGTTTTTATTATGGTACCAACACATAAAACAAATAGCATTATTTCTTAAATAGACTATTCCAATACCTGAAGGAATCAATACAATGTTCCTAGTGTCTGTCTCTCTACAGTGAGAAAAAATTTGACCCAACACTTGAGGTACGATCAGTTTACGCAAAGTGCAGTACATGAGTCCGATTCTCACGTGTGCAAACACCTTCAGATCTGGGACTCCTTGAAAACACCAATATTCAATCTTTCTTTTTGCTAGAGGGAATAAAATATACATCTTGATAGAAAAACATTCCAAGGTTTTAATTCTCTGAATACAGTACCAAAAGTTACGTGTTATGATTATCCCTTTAAAATAGGGTATTTGAGAACAGTTTAAAGTTTCCACAACCCTAGTACAAAGCTTATTCACATTTTTACTAAATCCCAAACATCATTTTCACAAAATGAGTTCCTTATAAAAGTAGAGCAGCCAGGTTTCAGTGGCTCGGCCACTGTCCTTAGCAAAGTCCCCACTGGGCACAGAGCCCACGGGCCCACAGGGCCCTTCAGTGAGCTCCGGCACAGGGCTACTTATACCACGCGTTCCTTGAAGAACCACTTCTGGTGTTCCGAGTCGTTGCAGTCTCGTAAGAGTGGCACGAAGCTGTCACTGGATGCCTTCCTCTCTGCCTGAACACATTTCTTGGACTGTACGTGAAATAAAGAACCATCCTATGAAGAACAGTAGATAGTATGTTTTCAACAGAAGTGCAAGTCACTCCTCAGGAAAATGTACTATTCCTTAAAACATGTTCTTATGAGCCCAGGGTGTGATTTGGGTCATTTCAGGATTATTTATGCAGGGGTCACTGCACTGGACAACTTCCCAGCCAGCTGTCACCGAGTCAGCTTTGACCACAGCATCCCCATGTGCGTCAGAGTGAACTGTGCGCCAGGGGTCTTCAAGGGCTGGCTTTGTGGAAGCAGACTCACAGGGCTTTCTTCCGAGGCACCTTTGGCTGGAGGTCTATGGGTTGGCAGCAAGTCCATTAACTGCACCCTGCAAGGATTCCATCCCCATCTCAGAGCTAGGGGAAATGAGGCTCATAGAAGTGGAGGGACTTACCCTAGATCTAACCTCACATCCCTATCCTCATAGAGTTTCACTCATTTAAACCCCATTTCATCTTCGAGGGAGTTTGTAAGAGCTTCCACTACAGCCCACCCCAGCTCAAGGTGTAAGGGACACGGAAAAGCCTGGAAGGGAGCAAGCAGCGAGGAAGCAGCACCTCGCTGGAAGCTAGGGACTCGAAAGCTTCTGCCCACTCAGGCTCCCTGTGATGCTCCCAGGCTCCCAGAGCCCCCCACGGAGCCGCCTCCCGGAGACCTGCTCACACGCACAGCAACAACGTCTGACTTTCATGCACCCCTTCGCAGCCCATGAGACTGACAGCAAGGGGACAACGAGCTCACTCACTCACCTCCTGCAAGATGAACTTCTGCTCCTCGGGGACAGCTTCCTGGCAGAGCTCCATGGAGAGAGCATCTGACCCTGCCGCCACAGACACACAGGCCTCTGGCTGTTGGGTGTTGTAGCGGATTTCGTTCTGGGACGTGTACTCGAAAAACTGGAAACAGAGCAGCCAACGTGATGGTGTTACCCTCCGACAGAAGGAAGGAAATCACTGGACAAGAAGCTGGGGTCACAAGAGCATGGGTGCTGGGCCCAAGCAGTCTCTCCTCACCCCCAATCCCCACACTAGCCTGTCTGATCAATGGCTTCTTCGTGTCTCCATAGCACTCTGTTGTTGCCAGTTGCTGCTGAATGCATGCATTCTGACTCACAGTGACCCCGTGTGACTGGGCAGAACTGCCCCATAGGATTTTCAAGGCTGTAATCTTTATAGGAGCACATTGCCAGGTCTTCCTCCTGAAGAGCTGTTGGGGGGTTCAAACCACCAACCTTTTGGTTAGCAGCTGAGCACCTCACTGTGCTCCACCAGGGCTCCTTTGACTGCACTCTTGTTGTGTCCTGCTGAGTTGATTTCAACTCATAGAAACCCTATGTGATGGAGGAGAACTGCCCTATAGATTTCAAAGGCAGTAATCTATATGAGAGGAGCTCTGGTAGCACAGTGCCTAAGGCACCTGACTGCTAAGCAGAAGGCTGGCGGTTCAAACCC